GGGTCCGGGCTGGGGATTCGAACCCGCCACCTTAGGTGTACATTGCTGGCGCCTTAGCCGGTTGAGCTATAGGAGCCGAGCCAGCACATTTGTAAAGTGGAAATAACAAAGCACCAATTTTACAGGATTGTTGGGAAAATTAAGTGAGCTCAATGCTGTGTAAGTGTAGGCCATGGTTGTTAATGAACCGAAGAAATTGCGTTAGTTAATTGAATGTTGTCAGCCTCCCCTAGTAGAGTATAAGATCTCCGAGGGAATGGACCTGATCCTCAGTAGTCACCTAATGCCAAACCCTAGGAGGCTCTGGGGGCGTGCAGGACTTGTCGGGGCGTGGCCTTCTTGGCTGGCGGCAGGCACGGGGTTGGGGCGGGGCCGGTGGGGGTGGGGCACTCACTCAGACGCAACATGCCCTCCCCGTTGGGCTGGTTGTTCCACCATTGGCCTTCGTAGATGTCACCGTTCTTATAGTACATGCGGCCCCATCCGCAGCGCTGGTTGCCACACCACTCACCCTCGTAATACTCCTTGGGTCCGAAAAACTGGATCCCATAGCCCTGAAAGCACGAAGGTGCCCCTGTTTACAGCGGCCCCATGATTCAGAAAGGCCACCACCTTCCCAGGCCCCCCTCCCCAACCGTAGCCACACACCCGGGCTTCTCCCTTACGTCCTCCTTTATCCCTGCGGCCACGTGTCTTGAAATATCTCTGTTTCTCTCTGTCCCTTGGGGGCCACCTTCATGAAGTCGGACATCACTTCTCCCCTTCTCACTGGGTCCTTCCTCTCCTGTCTCTCCAACCCCCATCCCCATGCATCCTCCATACAGCTACCGCTCACATTTGCCCTTCCCAATCTGATTTTGACACAGAAAATTGAACACTAACACTGCACTTAGTGTTCAACCACAGAGAATCAGGGACTCCTTGCAGACCACACCCTAGGGAGCTGAGTTGAGCACCCCAAGTGTATTCCTCAAAATCCTGATGTCCACTGAATCTTGAAGGCCCCACTACTCCCTCCTTACTCTCACCCCACAGCAGACACACCCTGACATTTGAGTTTGAGTTTGACATCTCCTTCCCTTTGCCATTTCTGCCTCCAGTCCTCTTCCCCCTATTTTCTCTCTGGTTACCTTCTAGCATCTTTTTTTTTTTCTTTTTTTTTTGAGATAGAGCCTCACTCTGTTGCCCTGGGTAGAGTGCCCTGGCATCATCACAGCTCACAGCAACCTCAAATTCTTGGGCTCAAGTGATCCTCTAGCCTCAGCCTCTCGGGTAGCTGGGACTACAGGCACTTGCCAAGATACCTGGCTAGTTTTTCTATTTTTAGTAGACAGGGTCTCATTATTGCACAGGCTGGTCTCCAACTCCTGAGCTCAAGCGATTCGTCCTCCTTGGCCTCCCAGAGTGCTGGGATTATGGACATGAACCACCACTCTTGGCCATACCTAGCATCTTTTTGTTTCCCTCCTATGGGAAGACTGGCCTGAATTCTCTAGGCTGGGCTTCATGACCTTCCTCTGGGAACCCTGAGAAAAATGCCTATCCTGGTACCACCATATTATATGCCAATTGTTTATTTGGGGCTTTCTTTCCCCACTGATCAATAAGCAATCTGGGAGCAGAGAACACGAATTCCTTAGCTCTACCACTTGTTAGCTGTGTGACCCTAAGCAAGGCACTTCAATTCTCAATGTCTTGTCCACAATAAAATGGAAATGATGATGATGATAAGTTGTTGTGAGTTTATTGAAGTACCAGGTACATGTTCTAGGCTCACAATAGCAGTTGCTGGATTGCAATCCTGTTATAATAATGCCTCCACCTGTGGTGAGGGTGCATCTAAGTTTGTGAGAATGACTTGAGGGAATCTGCGTCCAGTTCAGGTGTGTATGGGCTGATCACATGCCTCTGGCTGGCTTCTGTCCCCCCAGGACCTTCCTCTCTTGACCTATGGCCAACAGTGTGGTCCCTGCTCTCTCTACAGGGGTATTCTCAGAGGGGGGTGTCCAGGGCGAAGAAAGACAGGAAATGAGAGGGGAAGAGGGTGGAGGAGACTTTGCCCTCACAAGTCTGGCTGCTTCTGGTAGCCACAGAGTTTCATGAGCTCCTCCCTGGGCCTTCTCCCTTGCTTCCTGTTTCCTGGGTTTTGTTCTGAGAAGTCTTAATAATTCCCCCACCCCTTCCTTCTCCCACCCACATGCAGCCTTGTCTTCCTCCCCTCAGACTACTCCCGCCCTTTTCTCCCAGGCCTCTCTGACTGTTCCCTACACTCACATTCACACTCATACACATTCTCACACACACAGAGCCGCCAGGTCCACACATGACCTGGGATATGCTGAGAATCACTCACAGATTTCTTATCCGCTTTCCACCAGCCTGAGTAGACTCTCCGGTACTTTCCAGTCTCTGGGTCAGGAAGGCTGAGCGTGCCATAGCCATCTCGCTTCCCAAACTTCCAGTCTCCCTCATAGATGGCTCCTTTCTTCTTCCAGACCTGTGTTCCTTTCCCTGGTGACATACAGAGGGGCCAATACTGCAAACATGGCCAACCAGAGGATGTCCATGGGGGCAGTGTGCTGTCTGGGCCTCAGGGACCCATTGAGTGCTGAGGTCTATGTATCTTCTCTAGACTCCAAGCATCCCACAGAACCCTAAGAAAGTTCCATTTCTTTTCTCTCTGTTTTTTCTTTTTTAGACAGAATCTCACTAAATGTCGCCCTCAATAGAGTGTCATGGCGTCACAGCTCAACCTCAAACTCCTGGGCTCAAGTAATTCTTTTGCCTCAGCCTCCCAAGTAGCTGGAACTACAGGTGCCCGCCACAATGCCAGGCTAGTTTTTGGCTGTAGTTGTCATTGTTGTTTGGCAGGCCCAGACTGGATTGGAACCTACCAGCTCAAGTGTATGTGCCTGACACCCTACCCGCTGAGCTACAGGTGCCGAGCCCTCTCTCTCTCTCTCTCTCTCTCTTTTTTGAGACAGAACCTCCAGCTGTCACCCTGGGTAGAGTGTCATGGTATCATAGCTCACAGCAACCTCCAACTCCTGGGCTTAAGCAATTCTCTTGCCTCAGCCTCCCGAGTAGCTAGGACTATAGGCGCTGGCCACAATAACTGTCTATCTTTTTGTTGCAGTTTGGCCAGGGCCAGGTTCAAACCCACCACCCTCGGTATATAGGGCTGGCACCCTACCCACTGAGTCACAGGTGCTGCCCAGTTTTTCTATTTTTAACAGATACGGGATCCTGCTCTTGCTCAGGCTGGTCTTGGACTCCTGAGCTCAAGCAATCCACCTGCCTAGGCCTCCCAGGGTACTAGGATTACAGGCATGAGCTACTATACCTGGTCAAAAAGTTCCATTTCTACAAACAGTGGTTCTGCAGTCCTGTGCCCTGAAGCTGGACTGATAGAACAAACCTCAAGGAGAAATCCACCCCTGTAGCATTTCAGCTTCACCTCTTTTTTTTTTTTTTTTTTTTTGAGACAGAGCCAAAGCTGTCCCCCTGGGCAG